TTACGAACGTCACCATTTCGGCCAAGCTACTACTGCAGTCATTATGGAAGGAGAACATTATGTGGGACGAAGAATTACCACCGCATTTGGCTACGCAATGGATAACCTGGTGGTCGAAATTCCAGTCGGTCAAGTCATTGTCGATTCATCGCTGTTATTCAAGCTTTATACCAAATGCGGACGATATTCAACTACATATCTTCGTGGATGCCAGCACGAGCGCATATGCCTCAGCAGCGTACCTAAGGGTACAAAAGGGCGACACGGTAGAAGTAGCATTAGTTTGTGCCAAAGCAGCATGCGCACCGCTAAAGACAACGACAGTTCCCCGCCTGGAACTGCAGGCAGCCGTCATGGGATGCCGAATCAAAAGTCTCATCGAAGAAAGCCTCGACATCACAATCAACAAAACCCTACTCTGGAGCGACTCACAAACAGTTATTTTGTGGATACGTTCGCATACAAGGGCGTATAAGCCGTACGTCGCCCATAGAATTGCCGAGATCCTTACCACGACTACGATAGATCAGTGGCGTTGGTTGCCTACTGCCATGAATGTGGCAGACGACGCAACACGCGCTCAGCCGAGTCTCGAGTTTTCACAGCACACACGCTGGTTTAAAGGACCAGATTTTCTACAACAAGCCGAGGAATGTTGGCCACGAGAAACCACCCTAACGCCAGACGAACGTGCCAACAAAGAAGAAACCAGCCGATGTTTGCTTGCCTGCAACACAGGTGAGACATTTATCACATTTACTAATTTTTCATCATTCTTGAAGTTGACGAGAACCGTCGCTTGGGTACTTCGATTTACCAACAACGCCAGAAAGAAGAATTGCAAAGACGGAGAACTAGGGTTTGATGAATTAACCGTAGCCGAAAAGTTGATATGCCGGATAGTCCAGAAGGAAGTGTACCCGCAAGAAATTGAACTCTTACACAGAAAGGAACCATTGTCAAAGAGATGTAGCCTTTATCCTCTCACTCCCTATTTAGATGATAGTGGATTGTTGCGGGTGTATGGGAGAATAGACGCTGCATATTGCTTACCACTCGCCGCCCGCCGTCCGATTATCCTGCCAGGAAGCCATTATGTCGCTGGACTAGTTGTAGCGGACCACCATCGAGAGCGACACCATCAAAACGACAACTTGGTAATGAACGAGATTCGCCAACGTTATTGGGTAACGGCCATACGCGGTACACTGAAGAACGTTAAGAGGCATTGCCCAGTTTGTATACATGAGAGAGCTAAACCAGCCGACCCATTAATGGGTCAATTGCCAAAAGATCGACTTACACCTTATGTTCGACCATTTTCCTACTGCGGAGTGGACTATTGTGGCCCATTTAACGTCGCTATCGGTCGCAGAAGGGAAAAACGGTGGATTGCGCTGTTCACCTGCCTGACAACCAGAGCAGTTCATCTTGAGTTGGCGGAAAACCTCTCAACCGATGCGTTTATACTGTGCCTTCGCAACTTTGTTAATCGGCGGGGCGTACCCATACGTATCCGTAGCGATAATGGTACGAATTTTGTTGGCGCCCAAAAGGAGATAAACCAGAGTGAAAGATTATTCGATTTCGACGCTATCGAACGCGAAATGTCCAGGCGCAAGATTGAATGGGTATTTAACTGTCCAGCTGACCCAAGTAGCGGAGGCTGTTGGGAGCGTCTGATTCAATGCACCAAGCGACTTCTACATCGAGTTTTGAAGGAAGAGGCGCCGAGGATAGGCACTTTTCAGAGCGTTCTCATTGAGATCGAGAACATAATCAACAGCCGACCATTAACCGATATTCCTTTGTTGCCAGGAGAGGCGGAGCCTCTTACGCCTAACCATTTTTTGGTTGGCTGCCTAAACTCCACCCAAACGCCACACCCCGAAGAAGAACGTCTTTGTCTCAGGAAGCAATGGAAGATATCCCAAAATTTAAAAGATCGTGCTTGGAAGAGATGGACGCTGGAGTACTTGCCACGTCTGCTCTGTCGCCCTAAGTGGAGAGAGGAGGTAGCAGCACTCAAACCGGGAGCGGTTGTCATAGTATGTGATCCTTCAGCACCGCGGAGCCGTNTCGGGGCGTACCCATACGCATCCGTAGCGATAATGGTACGAATTTTGTTGGCGCCCAAAAGGAGATAACCAGAGTGAAAGATTATTCGATTTCGACGCTATCGAACGCGAAATGT